CACGGATCTCGACAAAGCCATCAAACAGACGTGCAATGCGGTTTGTTTCCACTTGCTTGCCCCTCTTTCTTCTTCTATTCTTTTTGCCCTATTTAGGCAAAATTAGCGCCCTGGATTGATAAATATTAAACAAGTTGACCTCTTCGAAAAAACAGCGCCAATCACTGGGCTTCTGGAACTAAGCCGATTTCGAGCAGGACGAAACCCTACCGTACCCTTCCTAAGTTTTGAAAAAAAAACGCTATTCCAGTAATTCCAGTGATTGGAAAAGTGGCTGACTTACGACGACACTTGGAATAATCTAGAGAGTATGAGCAAAATTACCCCAATTTACAGCGTATAAGTCCGAATGGTGTATAAGCCGGGTTTATCGATTGTAAATTTGGTATGATTCCAGTGGATAAAACTAGGCCGACTGTTTCACGGGCGAACGCTGATTCGGTTCCTGAGTCTCTAGCACCCTCTCACGCATTTTGAGTCACCAGATTTTGGGATGCGGAGATAGCAACCTTAGGCTTGGCTTTGATTGATTTGATGTACGTCTTATATTCGAGAGGATGGCCAAAATTGTCACATAGCGTTTCCACGAGTCGTCGAGTCTAATTTTGGAACATTCTAGTAGAGCTTTATCACTGGAGCCCGAGAATTTACTGAATTGAGAGAGGCTTGGAAATTTCTGGCAGAGGTTCAGAGGGCAGTAGGGGGCGTAGAGATGGCATTAGCGTGGATTTAAAATATTTTGCAAGCTTTATTCGCTCCTAATGCAGGTCCCTCTACAATTTTTAATAATCTTTGAAAGCGTGGCGCATTCCTAAAATTCAATAAATATCGAGCGAACTACCTTTTTGAATTTCTGGAGGAATTTTCACATCACATCGACTTCAAATAATGTTTTACAGGTGTTCTTCAACAAGGGTGAGAACTGCATTGCAGCAGGACGAATTTTCGTCGCCGAAAGTATTTATGACGATTTCTTGGACAAGTTGAAAGATGAAGCCGAAAAGGTTAGTCAGTTGTTCTGTGAAGAAATTCACTAGGAGCTTGTATATTGGGAATTTTCCCCACATATCATTCAAACAAGGAATGTTCAGTATGTCATTGGAGATCCATTGGACAGATCCACCAACCATGGTCCACAAAATCACAAGGCACATTTGGACAAGCTGATTGAGTACGTTGAGAAATCGGTCGCTGGAGGAGCAAAGGTTAGAGTTCCTTGGCACTGTTCTGATGAAAATTAGACGAAAATTGAAATCAACCGTCCCCCTTTGTGGCTATTTTGAAAAATCCTAAAAATAAGTTTTCAGTTTTTTCTTGGAGAAATGAATGTCAGATTGAACATTAGGCACTCTCTGGTCTCATGAACTAGATGAAGTATTCTATCGAATGATGAGAATTTACTCTCCTTACTTGCTTTTGGAAAATCCTAAAAGCAATTCCTTTTTGAAAAAATGCTAGATTGCGACCCTAGTTCTTCTTGTAATAAAGGATCCTAATCAAAGAAGTGATTCAGCTTGTGACGGGCGGGCAAACGTCTTCCACAACCGGGCTACTTCTTCCCACCTACCATTCTCTCAGAGGTTGAAGATGACAACTTTGCCGCCATAGAGGAGTCGTTTGGTCCGATTATGTGTGTGAGCCGATTTGACGACGAGTGAGTTTCTTAAAAACAAGCATTTTCTCGAAATAAGCCTGATGGACATTTGAGTGGAAAGGTTGAAGCGCATAGCCTTGATTAAACTGTCTCAGAATGAGTCGTGCATTCTACACTGGTCAGATTCGCGTATACCTGGGCGCATAAGTGCTCAAGAAGGGAAGGGTAAAGGTGCACATGGAGGCGGCTAACATGAGTAGTCCGCTCGCACGAAATGATTGCACGTTTAACGCTGCATCCAGTGAGCAGGGTGGGTGGTTGGGTCAGATCCCATACCATGCGCGCAGTAACTGCGCTATGGCGCTGCCTACACAATTCTACAAAAAAGGGAACAAACTTTTAAAAGCATTCTCGGGCGTTGTAGGGCTTACGTGTGGAGATGAAATTTTGAGCGGGGACGCGACAAGTCACAAGTCAACCGTCGATAGCAGGGGACAGGCAAGACGCAGACACCTGGGTTACAAGTAAAAGGTTTCTGGCGCTCTTGTTGTACGACTTTTGAGTCGGGCCAACGCCAGATGATGTTATTTTGGAAAGGTTTCGGACTCATCATCTTTCATGATCCACTAAACCATGGTGGTGTGGTCTACTTTCAGCGAACGTCCAGAGGAACTTATCGTTAGTGTATTTGAAGCGCTAAAAATAAGGAAGGGGCGCATATGGAAATGAAAGAGAAGAAGAAATTCGAATATAAATCGAGACACACCCAAACCGAAGACCACTCAGGACCACTAATTAGGAGCATTGTCAAGGCCCCGAAACCCTTGTCGTAATTTTGAGCCGTTTGAACAGGGAATCGTCAACTTTCGTAAACAGCCCTATCCTACTCACCGAAGGATTTACTCCAACGGCCTAATTCCAAAGCTCGCCTTTATTGTATGAAAGGTCGTTATCAGGCTTCAGTGTACTCACATGGGTATGAACTTTAGAATTTCCAGATACTGAAAAAAAACTAGTTTCATAAAAGAATTTCCGGTGCTTGCAGTGATTTTATACAAATCAGGATAATAATGGGCCTGAAGGGAGCAAACTGTGGTGAAATAAACAAATAGGAACCAAGTTACTAAAAAATGCAGGCAAACAGTTGACGGTGGAGTTTTCCGACTTATCCAATATTTCAGTGACATCGATACGGTCATAAAACGAGCGAATAAGACCGAATTTGGACTGGCAGCTGGAGTGTTCTCAAGGGTACAATTACTAGGTTTTTCTTGTGGATTTCAGAGTTTTTGAGGTTGATGTCAATTTTAGGATGTGTCGAAAGTGATGCGTATTGCGGACAGATTACAAGCCGGTACCGTGTTCATCAACACCTATCAGAAAACCGACGTCGCCGCTCCATTTGGTGGATTCAAACAGTCCGGTTTTGGAAAAGACCTCGGTAATGCTTTGCTGATAGCTGCCTATTTTTACGCAAATCAAAACATGTGCTACAATAGACAGCAGAGTGGGAATGGACCTTCCAAAGACCCCATTCTAGAGGGCTGGCTTGAGCTTTTGATAGTTCCTGAAAATGGCGGGGGGGGAAAGAAGAAAAATGTCATGGAAAGTTCACATAAAACCAATAAATATCGATTGCTAGGAGCAATAAAATTATTGGTTTGATATAGATAGTTTGGCGTTCCTGATCATTGTTAATGATTAATGTTA